AAATAATGGCAGATTAAATTTTATAAAAATGCAGATGCATTTTATCAAATATTAAAAGTCCTTGAAATTCGTGTCTGATTAAGTAGGATCTGAGCGCACTGAAGTATTTTCTTTTAGTAAGCCCATGTAGAGGTTTTTAATAATTCCTTAATATGATATTAAGTGGTGTAAAGACTGCTAACTATATAAATATAACTATAAAGTAGTTTGCTTTATGAAAATATTTAAAATATTTGAAAAAATTGGCATTTTATATTTATCTATCATAGTTATAGTCTAAGACACTATATTTCAATATTCTCATATTTCTCTTAGAACTATATTAGATGCTTTAACAGTAATAAATACTGCCCAAATTCTGCTTAAAATAAACGTTGGGCTCATCATTGAAATTATTTTTATGTTTTCATTTTTTTATTTCTTGTTTTAGATTCTCTGTACTGTTTGCCTTCTATTTAAATGGTGCAAATAGAAAGAGCTACTCATTGGGCCAGGAATTTAGCTCAGTGGTTCTGCCATCTGTCTTGCAAGTGCAATATCCTGAGTTAGATTCCTGGTACAAAAAAAAGCAAAAAGAAATTCTTAAAAGGGCGGGGGCTTGAGATTTAGCTCATTGGTTCTGCCACCTGCCTCATAAGCAGAAGGTCCTGAGTTTGATCACTGATACCAAAAAAGAAAAAAGAAAAAGAGTTACTCATCTAACAATTTTTAGAAGCTCAAACCATAGAGAAATGTTGTTTTTTTTATATTTTAGGATGTATTTATTATTAACTGTAATATTTTATTTGTGATTTTATAAGAAGAAAATACTACTCCTATCTTATGAATGAAAAAAACCTGACCCCTGTTAATTGTTAGATAAATATTTCTTCAATTTAAGCCCTAAGTAGCAAATATGTGACTATACTACTTCCAAAAGTCCTGCTGAACTCAGGCACAAGCAGGAGGAATCTGAGTAAAGGAAATAGCATGTGAAGGGCAGGGAAACATTTGGACAGAAGGAATGTAATTTGCAACCTTCATTGTTTGGTTGCATAGGATACACCTTCCTAAAATGATGTCTATGCAGAGGTTTCTGATTTTTCAAAGGAGTTAGCTTTTGTTATCACTTCTCTTAAATACAGATTTGTAAAAATTAATGATTTATCTTTACTGAAAACATTGTATTGGCTGTGAATTCAACTTAGGTAAAATATGAAATAGACATAGTAATTCTATTCAAAGTTAGTCTACATGAAAAGTATGGAGATCAATGATAATGACTTCTCATATGATTGAATAATCTTCAAGTCTCCTTTGAGTATACAGATCGGCTGAGCAAATTCCAAGCTCCCCATTTGAAACTAGATTGGGCCAGAAATGCAAACTTATTTTTGACAGTCCATGGCAGGGGGATGAGGAGAGGGGGAGAAGGGGAAAGGAGAGAGGGAGAGGAAGAAAAGAAGGACAAAACCCAAGGCTTCCTGATTCTCACTGTAGATTAGAACCACAGTTGGAGCTGTTTAAACCCAAATACTGAATCGTGCTGAACAGTTAATTCCATAATAGAACCTCCAAATCTGTTCCGTGAACCGACAGTAACACAGGTAAATCAAGACACTGTTGAGATTTGAATTACCTGGTCTTCATATTCAGATGTAGAACTTCTTTGTTGCTCTAAAAGAATTAATGATATGTCAGTTTAATCTGTCCAGATTAACTGGTTTAAACACCCACATCTCCAAAGGCCTTCTCTTTCTGTCATCTTCCCATTTTGACAAACACACTCCTCTGGTTACTCAGTTACTTGGGCTCAACAACTTAATCTTTTTCTTTTGTCTTCTTCACATATTTCATACTCCATCAACAGTGTCTATCAACTTTTCTACCAAATGTATTTTTTATCTAAACCAAACATTTCTCTCCATTTCCCTGTTACTGTCCCTACCCCTACTATTCCAGGACAAGCTACTTATATAAAGAGTACCCAAAAATGCACACACACACACACATAAGGAAAAAATGTTTTTTACTAAATTTATCAAGCCTTTATGGGATTAGTAAAAGTTACTTCTGGCCTCTACAGTTATAAGAGGCATTCAAAGTAGTAGCTCTTAGCATCTAGACATTAGTTGGTGAAGTGTGTCTATATTTTTTTGGTGGACACTGTATTTAATAAGATAATTTTGAAAACAGCTTTTTGGGCTGAAGGATAATATTCCTTCTACTTTCTATTAATTGCTTTGTTTCATACTGTCTACACAGTCAGCCCTTTTAAAATATAGTTCCTTGTTTCTTCTTAGCCCTGCCACTACCTAGCTCTTTAAGGTGCTACAGTTTCTTTTGCAGAGCTTTACAATCACTTGAAAGATATTTATTTTTGTGTGTGATCTTGTTTGTTACCCACTAAAATGAAAGCTTCCAAGGGCATGGGCTTTCTCTTTTTAAGTTGCAACAAGTGAATGCAGTTCAGCTGTCTCTTAATTAAGCAATTTTCATTGATCAAAATGATTGTTTAGGTTCTCCTCATGCTTTCTTTAAAATACAGTATACATTGTCATCTCCTAATTTCACTCTATTTCATAGGTCTTGATACATTTTCTTCTATAAATTGAGCTTTACCAATGAGAATTTCTTTCTCTTAGCTTTTTAAAATGCTGAGTATTTAAAACATATTGAGAAGTAATTCACTTTCATATTTTCCCTGCTTGTCCAGAGTAGCTGTCTGTCATCTCTCTCTGTTCCTCCTTCCTCATCTCCAAATAAATCATCACCTTAAACAAAAAGCTTATATCACTGTGGTATAATTTTTTTAATTCTTTTGGAAACATACCCAGCAGAAGGATGGCTGCGGCAAACGGAACCTCTAATCGTAGCTCTTTGAGGTATCTCCATATTGATTTCCAGTCGTTGCACCAGTCTGCACTCCCACCAACAATGGAGAAGGGTCCCTTTCTCCCCACAACCCCGCCAACATTTGTTATTGGTTGATTTCTTGATAGCAGCCATTCTTTGTGGGGTGAGGTGGAATCTCAGTGTTGTTTTCATCTGCATCTCTCGAATGACCAGTGATGTGGAACATTTTTTCATATATTTACTTGCTGCTTTTATTTCTTTGTCTGAGAAATGTCTGTTCATTTCAGATACCCATTTTTGAATCAGGTCTTTACATTGGGGGGGCTGGTTTTTTAATTTCTTTATATATTCTAGATAATAGTCCTTTGTTTGAGGAGTAGCTGGTAAATATTTTCCCACAATGTAGGTTGTCTCTTAGTTTTGTTGATGGTTTCTTTTGCAGTGCAGAAGCTTTTTAGTAAGATAAAATCCCAGTGGTTGATTCTTTCTGCTAGTTCCCGTGCTACTGAGGATTTGTTTTTAAAGTCTTTTCCTATTGCCAATGTCTTCAAGACTTCTGCCTAACCTATCTTTCAACAAATTTAGTGTCTCTTTTTCAATTGTTCGATCTTTAATCCACTTGGATTTTAGTTTAGTTCATGGTGAAAGATAAGGGTCTAGTTTTAATCTTTGGCAAGCTGAAATCCAGTTTTTCCAACACCATTTATGAAAGAGGCTATCATTTCAGTACACACTGAATTGAAGGAAGAGTAAATGAATGAATGCTTAACTACTTCAGGATATATTTCAGAGCTTTGTATTCATTATGCAGAATAATTATTTTAATATATTAAATTTTATGGG